CTTCAGACAAGTCTGGTACCAATTTCCCGAGCCCGGAGGGATGAGAAGCGTGGTTGGCCTGGAGCGGAATCGAACTAGCACCATGCTCATGATGATAAACATCACTACCACTGTGCTAACAGTCTTCTTTTAGACAAATTACAATAGTCCAAATATGAATTGCATGTACGTATCCCATGTCCCACTTTTGATTTCACATAGTATTTAAGACAGATATGTGAGAGGTAAAGTGAGAGAGGAGCATTACCGATCCATGTGAGCTCTCTGTGGGTGATCTTCAAGTGATAGACGTAGTGGAAGATTCGTAAAACGGTGAGTGTCTTAAAAAGCGATTTTGCATCCAATGCAATTAAAATTTATATTCGTGGCTTTCTGATGAGGTTACTTAGGTATTTGGTAAAGTATTTTGCAATCAGCTTGCCCTTTCCGCATTCTGAAGATGATGACATCTGCCGAAACGTCAGCAAGCACTTCTATGAATAGACTTTGTTATTAACAAGATGGTCAGTGCTTTTCAAAAAAGCGGCAGTTTATTGATCAAAGCCGAGATCGGTAGAATGTAGGTCTTGAGCCCTGTTTCCTTTAAATATTACTTCTCTATTTCACAATTGCGAGCAATCAACGCAGCATTTTCAAATTTATCGCCAATAGTTCATATTTAGCCCAACGCAGCTCTGCCTTCTGAATTCTGAGCTTTTTAACAAGTGATGGATAAATTGAAAAAGGATGGAACTCTCGGCATTGATCAATCCGTTATAAATGCGCATGCATTCGACTTTAATATCCATCGTTGGACGTGATTGAACGCATATCTAGCCTTTACAATGACTATCTGGCTAGTATCAATTTACCGACTCTGAGAGGATGGAAGGCTCGGTGAGCCATGGGCACGGGATCGATCCCATGTAAGTGTCACAGGGAGCCTCCGACCATTGCACCACATGGGCAAATGACGGAAATTGTTATTATTACAGCAAAGCCTACCATTTTTGAGGAATTCACAATAAAATGTGGTAGTCAAATGCATAGCGCATCCTTTAGGGATTGACCAACGCCGAGAGCTTTGTCCTTTATCCTTTATCGCTTATCACATCACGTTCAGACTTCATCATTCTTATCATTTGCTTCATTCCCTCGTATTCATCGCGGTGAAGCCTTCGAACTTACTTATGGGCACAGCTATCACCAGTCCGTTTTACCTTCTTAATGAGTGGCTTTTAATGGCGGTCCAGTTATCAAAAATTGGATAACGCTTCTAAAGCATTTCAAAGTATTCACTTCAACTAGACGCTGGGTATTGTGGATTGTATAAGAGGTTTTCCTTGACATTTAAATCTGTGCAGCTTTCGAGGGATGGGGGGCTCTGTTAGGCAGAGATTTTCTTTTTCTGGCGAAACTCGTTTCACTTTCGAACAACAGTTCTTTTTGATAGGAAAAGATGTTTATGGAGTTTGTAGCCAGTTTAGAGAACGAAAAAGTAAGTGCAAGTCGTACCGCGTCGAATGTGATTTCATATACAGAGTACCCCAATAGGGTGCCGTGCAACGAAATTATGGTTATTGGTCCAATCTCTCGCACTTGTCAAAACCATCCATCTGGGGTCGGTTAATAAATGCTACGCTTCTCTATCTTTGGGAGTGAAAATATTGATTTCGTAGCGACAGGGACGCTGAGGTATGAGCAAAACTCAGAGCCTCAGATGGGTTTCGAACTTGCGATTACCCTTTTTGTAGGCTCATGTATTCTCCGGCACACCAACCGCTGCTCTTGTTTCGCCCATCTCTTAGCCAATTTCTTTCAATTTCAGTGGTGTTGTCAGTAGGTAGCGTGAGGGAAAATTAACTCGATAGAACAGTCTAACATTGAACCCATTCACGCTGAATCATTAGTCGAAATCATGGTGTATTAACTTTTATTTATTGCCTGTTATGCAAAAACTTTCTGAGAAGAAGCCGAAGCGAAAACCTCGATTAGTGTTCTGGATAGTAGGTGAGCCCCAAGAAGGGTTAATCGCGGGGGCGAAGCCCATATGTTGTTCCAAAATTTGCTTATATCTCATTATTCTTTTTGTTATATTTCAAATGAAACGCTGCCATGTGAAAGAAGGCAGTAAACAGGAGCTTAAACGCTGATATGGCACTTCTACAGGATAAGGCACGTCACCGTATAGGATAAATCCGCTTTCAGTTACCACTTCTGTGCTACGATTAAGTGTAATTGTTGGCATATCCCCGTTACTTACAGTAAGCACCTGTGAACGCTCTATCACAGTTATCTTAGACTTCCAAAAAAAAATGTTGGACCAACATTCGACATGCCAGTGAGGAAGGCAATTAACAGATCGTTAAGATGGAGCCAAATCCGAACTATGCCACTTGTGTGAAAGATGGCCGTAAAAAATAAAAAAAAGAATGGAAGAAATGGTAGAGCACGTGAGAAATGAGCGAATACTGAATACAATTATTCGGTAAAGAAATCCACAAGAGTTTTGAGCACTCTGAATGAGACGGTAACGCTGAAGCATTTACAGCAATGAAGTTTTCTATCTGCCAAGGACAGAGGAATTTTCTAACAGCCTCTTGAATCCTTAGACAACATAGAGACTAGAGGTATTGTGCAGAACAAGCTTGGTTACTGGTTCGATTCCGTCCAAGTTCAGCAAACCATTACACCTTCGATAAGCAAAAATTTGTGCCAGAATTTTCTGGAAAAAGCTCCGTTTCCTACAAAAGCCGATGACCTACTGTAGTGATGAGTTGAGAACGCTCAACTAGAATTGTCCAAAGATTCCATTGAGAATCAACTCGACCAATCTTCATTTGGATTTTATGGCGAAGAGAATGCCCTTAAGGAAGAGCCAAGTACACACACAAATACGAAAACGTTCATGGACAAAGCACGCAAGACAACGAAATGGATGAGAGAATTGCCAAGACCTAGGCACTTTCCAAGCTTACCGATAAGCAGCAGTGTCTTAAGGTCTTCAATCACTGGTCATTGACGCTGTAGGGTCTATGGTACACGGATTGTCTTCATATGATGGCTGTCGCTCATGCATGCAACATGTCTAACCCATTTTAATTCTTGACATCTAGTTTATACGGACGCGTTGCTAATCTCTGATTCGTCGACGTTGACGTAGGTTCTCGGCACTAAAATTGGTAATTATATCGACCAAAAAACATCATCTATAAATTTATTGTTCTAAGCACTTTCGGTTCACGCAAATTTCACATGGGAAAGCGATTGCTGACTGAGAGCTGATCTGCAGTTCTGAAATAGTAGATGACGTTCATGAGTAAGACGCTCGACATAACAAGGCAATGATGTAAATATCTCCACGTAGTAATTCCCATGACCGACTTTCTGTTAACCTCGGCATTAATTGATAATTCAATGTTTTTCATCAATAAGCAGACACGAGGTTGTTAATATAGAATTTATTAGAACTCAATTGCTGACGTTTCGGCGGTTTCGCCTTCTTCAGAGCCTGGAAAGGTCAAATTGAGTCGGTAAATCTAAACTAAAACACAATACTCCACTAGGCGCGCATAGGATGCAAGAACACAACGGAGAAGATTTTGAGGTAGGAGTCACTATCCTTACGCAGGAATCGAAAACATCAGCGCGAAAAACTCTTGAAGCGTTTTGGATCAATGCCAAAAATTCAAAAATGAACCGCAAGGAGGAGTGTCTTGTCATCACGCGTGACCTAGCGCCATACCTCAGGCTGATCCAATGATCTGACATGGACCCAGTTATCGACCATGTATTACTCTGTGCGGCGGCTATCCACCAACTAACTTAAATACTTACAACAAATAAACGGTAGGTGTTTGAATGAAGCTGTTTCTTATGCGAATACAAATCGATTTATCAAGTTTTATCTGCTAGGGTTATGAAAGTGTTTGGCTGAGTAGATCGCATCTCAATTTGACCTTTCCAGGCTCTGAAGAAGGCGAAACCGCCGAAACGTCAGCAATTGAGTTCTAATAAATTCTATATTAACAACCTCGTGTCTGCTTATTGATGAAAAACATTGAATGATGTAAATATTTATCCACTTCCATCGTTGACCTTTCTACAACGAGTCTGAATAAATATATTCAGATGTTTTTTCCCTCGGAATTATGTTTTTTAATCATCCAGTGAACGACACTTCCCTCAGAGAAGCATCACTTGTACGGCCTGTAGTCCCGTTGATCGTCGAGTGATTCGAGCGAGCGCCAGTAAATCCTCCATTTTCCTTGTCGTGTGCAAGAATATACCATATCCTACTATCCTATCCACCACCTGGGAACACGCCACGTAACCTCGTGACTAACCGGCTCGAGATCCCTCATGAGGGAGGTCCGTGGCAGAGAAGCATACTATTGAAAATTACTTGATCTCAGTCATCGAAATAATTTCAGAAAACATCTGTAGAAATGCGAAATTAATTTATTCGTCTTTTTCTAGGATAAAATTTTATTACAGGTGCATTTCACACTTATGGAGGTCGGTTCAATCCTAAGGGGCCGAGCAAGCTTCTCTGCTACTCTCAGGTGTTCATATTGGCACCACACTGGTCAAGAGAGATAAAGACGTCAAGTTCACATACTTTCTAATCTAAACAGGCTATTTTATAAGTCAAATGTGTATTCAGTCTTCCCTACGGTGCCTCGAATTGAGCCGAATTTATGGCGAAATCCTTAAGACATTCTAATCAACGCCTTATCGTCTATGACTAGTATAATATTCTGTGCTTTATGCATTAGGAAATCAATGGAAAGTGCTCTAGTGGATGTATAAGATATCGTTTGGCGCAAAAATCTGAAAATTTGCTATGCAATCCAATTCAAAAGCGAGTCTAATGTGGCATAGTTGGTCTCCCTTAGCAATAAAACGTGGGCGTGGTCGCCGTGTGATGGTTGAGCTTGGTTACTCTCATTCTCTTTTCGTCCAGAAATCTATCAACCAACATCATACATGCCTTACTAAACTTATATATCGCTCACTTTATGGGATCGGGTGCCGGCGCCAAACAAGCGCCACTACCAGAACCAGAGGTTAAAGGCGATTCAGCATCACCGGCAGCCGAAGCACCGACTGTAGATTCGCGACTACCATATCCGAATTTTCGTGAGCTTTTTACACTGAAAAACTACTGGAAAACAATAAGACGAAGTGAGAAGGAGTGCGGCAAAGTGCTGCTTGCCAAGTGAGCGACTTTGTTAGCTTTTTCTCTTAGTAATTGATTAAGTAATTGTCTCTGTCTCTCATTGCTGTCTCATTTCCGAGAGGTGTCGATACCATATCTGTTTCTTTTTTCTATGAATTGAATAATATTGGAAAAGAATGTACTAGGCTTGTACCACTTGACCAAAAATATTTTCTTAATGAAACGATTGCTTTTTTTTCAGCATCTATTTCATCATAGTGGTTTCTTATTAAATTGCACAAGTGATTGCTGGACTGTTCAGGCACCCTGCGCCAAACAATCTCTACGTGCCCCCGGAGAGAGCAAATTGCTAGAGATTGCCCCAGAAGATGAAAATACTGATTTAATACATTGGTGTGCTTCTACAAGTAGTTACTACAGGTTAATGTATTCAGTCACCTCTGCAACGTTACGAATTCAGCTTAATACATTACGCGTCCCTATGGGATGATCAGCTCTGAACGCTTTCTCCTTACTATGTCATCCTTATAACGCATATAAAACATAGATCACCAATTTCACCCCGTAGAAATTCATCTAGACGTGGTTGAACAGCTTCACACGAAGAACAACACCTCAGTAGTTGCACACCTATATTACCGTAGCTCATTTTCTAGCTCCCTTGTTGTACGTCAATTTGACGAGTGACAAGGCACAAAAAGTAGCTCAGTTCAAATTTTTTCAATTCTTGAGATGGGGTCTTTTTGGTCTTAAATGATAGATATGACCGCAGTTGAACAACTCCTATGCTTATAAATTTCTTCGGTTTTTTGTCAGTTTTTCTCAAGCTTTTTGTTCAATTTCAATCGAATAGGAGCTATTCACACCAATAATTACTATTCACACCAATAATTACTTTCTTGTTCATATTCCATTCCACATAAATAGCCCCACCCGCTCCGTCATGAAAAACAACTGAGATTAACCTATATTAGTCCTTTATTTGTTTAAATTGTTGAGCTCACACGAGGTTGATAGCGATGCTTATTCGGCTAACGTTTCCACGGTTTTGCCTTCATCAGAGCCCGCGATCCTTGTCGATGGTCCACAGTTGTTCCTCTTCTTGATCTGGCGTCTTCCTCTCGCATCGAACCGGATCTTCCTCTCAGCTGAGCATCTCGAATGAGCCGAACACTCACGGCGCTGTTTTATACAGGGCGGTTATTGTTGACGTGATTATCAGCTAATGATAATTTGTTTTTCAACTGATAATTCACCCTGCAGCGGTTGGTCTCTTGTTAGCTAGCACATGACGAATAACAAAACAATAATTTTGAAGCAGTAGCTACGTTTACGTTAGCCGAATAAACATCTCATATCAACCTCGTGTAAGCTCAATAAATAAACAAATTTTGATTATTATAGTACCGAGTTTCAAAATTGCTCCTTTATATTTTTGTTTACCAAATTCAAGGAGTTATTATTTCTTTATTTACGCACATGCTGACGTTTCGGCGGTTTCCCCCTTCTCAGAGCCTGGAAGGGTCATGTTGACTGCAATCTTTCCCGCGAAACATCTTTAGGTGCATTATCCTTTGTTTTTCGGTTTGCCTTCGTTTCTACTACAGACGCAGTTCCAATAAATTCCGCTTTCTTATAAATAGCGTTGAGCGTAACTTCTACTTGGCCACCTTTGTCGGTCGCAGTAATCTAAAGCCCTCCAAAATCGAAAAGAAAACTATGAGCCAAAGCTAACGTGAAATTTTGTTTGCGCCTAACGATACCCATAAATACGTGAAACTGCGTTTAAAATACAGACGTAGAAGAAGAAAGGCGACAAATGTTAGATCAAATTCAACCGGAATCCGTGGATTCACCAAGGCCATAGCGTAGCCAAGCCCGTGTCAAGTATTTTGTGATAGCGTCGTATTTTCTGGCTCCTTTCCGTGGTATTTGTATGTTTATGACGTCATTCTGCGCTATTATAGTAATGTACCTTCATCATCAACTGCAATAGATTCCAGGTATTGATGAGATCTTGGAAAAAATGATTTTATGTGTTTCCTATCAAGTTATCTATTTTATGTGTTTCCTATGAAGTTATCTAAATCGACTCAACTCTTAACTTCTTCATAACCATTTGTGATATTGCTTCCTACAATACGTCAGCTTACGTTGTTCCATCCAAGTAAATGGACATACAAAGCTAAACTACGCGCGTCTATTGCGGATTAAGGCAGAGTCAGTTTAAAGCAGTGACAGTTTGGAGTTACCGTGTCGATATTCATTTCCGAAGGTTAGAAAGAAAATCTGTTAAACGATTCTCTGATGGCTTTTCTCTAACAATGTCCTAAATGTTCTTTCTAAACTCGTGAGTCGTTTACGTCAACCCATTAAAATCCTTCCAACTTAAGATACTCTGCCCCTGAAGAGTAAATTCATTTACAGCATTCACCTATTGTATCCCAGTGACAGGCGTATGCTCTGATTTTACCGTTGAATCAAAAAAAAGCGATGATTTTCATTAAACAGCAGATTTAGATATATGCTAAGTTAAATTGCCCAACACCTTACATTTCGAGTATTCCAGCACTTCTATCATTGAACCAATTGCCTATCATCTGCCATCGAAGAAGTTCTTCGTGTTTGCATATGGGCTCGACTGTCACTTGAGGGACTCTGTCTTCTTCACAAAGGTCTTGAAATACTCTTCGATTCCTCCTGGAATCTTGAGAAGCGATCCAGTGCCTTCACTACAAAAAATCACTAGTCTTTCCAAACAAAAGAGAGCCTTTTCCAGAGATCTGCGTAGTTGCGATTTGCCAACCACGAAACGTTAGGAGGCCTGCTTAACCCTTGACGGCATCGAACCAGCGACCAAGCATGTACTATTGCACGGAACTATCAAGCCCTGCCCCTTCCCTTCTACAAAAGTGAATTAAATGAAACTGCATGAGTAAAAAAGAGAGCCGTCTACAAATATTAAAAAGGAAAGCTACTCGAAACGTATAGGATTCGAAGGAAGTTTCATCTGGAATTCAGTATGATGGTGGACTCTCTCAGTAGTTTTGTAGATGTTTTCAAAGGACTCTAGAATTTGTGTTTCTTTCAGTTTGTAGTACTACCGTATTGTCAGATTCAACTACTCCTTCAACGCTGTTTCTCACTGGCCAAAAAACATCCGCTTTAAATTTTCCGTTCTGGGAAGAATTTTCCTATCTGTGCAATTAAAAACTCCATGAAGGCTACAAAGCCGAGCATAAATGTGAAGAGTATTTTAGGGCAAATTTATAGGTAGCTTAGTAAAGGACCAGCTGTAATTTAAGAACAGGGACGTAACCAAATGTTTATAAAACTATTTAGAGAACTAAAGTAACAGCGAGCTTCCTTTCAGAGGCAAAGTTAGGAATTCACAAGGAAATTAAGGAAAATCTTTCTAGAATTGAAACTATGCCTAAAAATTTCTAGAATACAATGCAAGGATGCCTTCATGGCGAAAATAACATTTGCGATACAAAATTGCCTGCTCTGATGTGTTTTTATTTTAAAAGACTGGTTATAACCAGTTGAGTTTGTAAATGTGTTTGGAACTCAGAAGCAACAAAACCAGCTCCGAAAAAAAAGTGTCGTGAAAAAATCACTTCTGGAAAGATTTTTGGAAAAGTGAAGTTGAGAAGAAGGCTATAACTAGAGAAGACTAGCGAAAAGAGAAACTAACTAGAGAAGAATAGAAGTGACTTTTGAATTCACAGAGCTACTCAACTGCGTTAAGATTGTTCTCAAAAAAGCAGGTCACTTTTTTCATGAGTATCGGTCGATACTCGGGAAATAACTAGCCAATTATCTTACTTTATCTTACCTTTAAAAAAGGCAAATTTTTCAAATAATGAAAAGAATGAGAGTAAAAAGGCTTGATGACGTCGATTTTCCACGGCCTTATGACCGTTTAATCTTCAACTAAAATTTCACTCTAACTTTAACATTCGGAAGTCTTTTCCATAGATAATCGTTTTCCCTAGAAAAGAAGTTCAGTGATCTTTCAAACGGAATGTGAAGCTTGCATGGCTTAGAAAAACAGAGTTTTGGGTTAAAGAACTTCCGAATTGCATACATGTGGGTTTTTGTCAACGCGCCGAGTCAAGTAGGTTCGTTCTTCAACAGAGAAAAAGCTCATAAAAGCACATTACACAAAGAATTATTTGTTTCACAGTGTTAAAAATAGCGCTAGCTATGTTTTCTTTCCGCTTTCCTTGTTTCTTTTAGTTGTCTTCATGCTTTCTGCTGGAATCTCCGCGACAAGATCTGTGACTGGAGTGGAGTGACTAAGGACGGCGGTGATTTGCATGCTCAGGTGTCCAAGGAAACGAGCTCTTGACTTGTAGTTGCGTGTCATTGTGTGTCATTGTGACATTGAAATGGCCGAGTTATATTGACAGCTGTTGCTGACTTAGGGTTGTCGTAAAAAATAAGTTGCAACACAGATAACCCTTACACGGGTTATTCTATTAAAGTTCAATAATCAAACGCTGATAAGTGAATAAGCTTAATTGGTCGAAAATACGTTATAAGTGCACTGACGCATAGTCGTTGTTTCGAACTCCCATGCTCCGGACAAACTAACCCTAGCCTTCTCACTCCATCCCGATTGGTGCCTGCTAGGATGAAAAGCACTGGATAAGCAGGTCCATCATTATGTAGACCAAATACGGAGTCAGTAACCTCTATGACGCAACGAATTGAGTCGAGTGTATGGCGATCAAGACAAATGCTTTACTCTGTTTTCTTTAACCTGCTATCGTAAACTGGGAGTTTCAATGTCGCTCAGCATTATCACATAATTTTGGCCTTCTGCTATATCTTTACGAACTCGTGAAAAATCGGACTCGTTGACTTCGTGGGAACTTGATGACACGGTGACGTGCCGTTGATGATATTGATGTTCATTCATAAGATCGTAATTGGTAGTGGTGAGCATAAGTTTTACGCATGACCGCTCCATCAAGCAATTCTACTTTCGAGTCGCGTGTAAAATATTCGAATAGTCAAATACTAGCCTTCAAGTTCCCGTCGAGCCTCTTGGATGCGTTGCATTAGTTTGGGAACTGTGAATTGAATACGGTATCTTCCTTCATGTTTTGAGAGAGCATCTGTGAAAAATTAATGGTGTCGTAGATTCGTTTTCGTCTTACAACTACTATAAGTTACGAAATAATTGCTTCACGTTAATTGCTTTGCCAGAAACCAATCGCTACTCGTGAATGGATTGCAGCGCAATAATGACGTAACTGGATAAGAGTTAAACTAAGCCAATTAAAACGAAGACAACTAAAAGAACGAACCATCTACGGTCCAATAACGCAGCTCCAAACAAAAACTCTCTCCGTACGTTGCTGAGTATTATGATATTTAAAAGTCTGCTCACTAGTTAGTGCTTCCATCGCTTCCATGTTCTGCTTTGTACACCCATGGTGTCTTTGGTTCGATACCGCTCCGATTAGTCTACATCTCTTTGGCTTAGATAAATTGATATAAGATATCTCTGGAACTATAAGAACAACGACTTAGTAAACTGGTACGACCTCGAAAGGCAACGACCTAGGCAAGATAAACATTCACTCACCTCTACGAAGTCTAATGGGGGACATCACTGCATCGTCCACCTCCAAGAGACACTGAACAACGCAGAACGCTTTATTCCTTTACCTTCGCTTATTTATCCATTTGGTCTTTGTTTGTTCATCTATTAACATTTTTCGTGAACCGATGTCACATATTGTGCGGGTCTTAGCACTTTCTTCATTTGCCTCGTTGCCTCGCAACTATCATCCGCGAATGTCCACAAATTTGCAATTGGATTCACGACCGTATGATGAGTTTTCCTTTTTCGTGATCGTTGTACAATGCAATTCGATATGATTCTTCCGGGAATCTTGGTGTAAACCTGCCAAAACGTTCCCAGCTCTTCACCAAAGGCAGTCTTGGTCGCGGCCTGGTTGATCCTGTACTTCTCCGCCTTTCGCCTCCCTTTGGCATTTACGATAATAGGAATTTTCAGGCTTCAGCTTATTGCATTTATATAATAAAATGTAGGAGAGACCGCTGCAGTTTTACAGAGGAAGACGAAAGTATTATTTTACACATTGGGTTGCCAAGTTGTTCGTTACTGGACTTCGAATAAAATCAAAAGAAATTAGTCTTCAAATCCAAATTTCATTTTTCTAGCGTGCAAAGAAGATAATGGCACTTTATAATATTTCCGCTTGCTACGGTATTTCAAAGATTTTGCTTTATTATTTGTATAAAATGTTAAACATGGAGGCAGACAGCACAGTGGTAGTGATGTCCGTCATCACGAGCATGGTGCTAGTTCGATTCCGCTACGACCCTACACCAGGCCTCTGATCTCTCCAGGATCGAAAGATTTGTACCGAATTTGTCTGGGAAAAAATTCGCTTTTGGAGATCCAATTGGGAATGCTCCAACCCGGCTATCTCAGGACTCCAGAGAGAATTACTCGACCACCATTCTACGACATTTAAGATGAAATGGAAATCCTCAAGCAGCAACCGAAGCCACTCCTAAGGTTAGAAGATCTTCGTGGACAATGGATGCGAGGGAACGAATCGAATGTGAGAAGTGCTGGGATTCGCACAGTAGGCGTGAAGACAGGTCATGTAAAATAGGAAAAAAAATTTTCGTAAATTACTAAACGAGTTGGACAATTTGTTATTCACGTTCAATTACGTTATCTGTTTTTCCTTATAGGTGGTGTGCTCACTTGAATTCAAAAAATTATTTAAAAAATTCATGAAAATTTCAATTTGTGGTATTCACTTGCTTGCAGCCAATCAATATGTATAATTTACATTATAAAGCCATGTGAAGTATGTTTGAAGTGAAATCAGTTTCTCACATGTATATCATGAATACTTTCAATTACTTCACGAACTCTTTAAAGAGCTAGCTATTTAGGTACTTGAATCAAAATCCTGAAAACACCACTCTCTATCCAAAGCTGAAAAATATCGACGGATCGGCGGTAGATGCGACATGTAGTAATCCAGGTTTTGAAGCAACTGCTGCGAACTATTTACAGGTATACAGGGGTGATTGCTGATGGGACTAATCGGTAGAAAAATAGCTAAGGAACAGGCGAAACGAAGACACGGATGGTGCGGTGGTGAACGCGTTAGCCCACGGAAAGGGTAATAGCGCGTTCATTGTACACCACAGACACCTGCGGTCCGGTGTTTTGCAAATATCTCAGCATCATTGTGATTATTTAAAGGTATTTCCTTATACGTGAAAAATGGTCACTTTTATAAAAAGTGGGTTTAAAAAGAGAAGAGCACTATGATCTTTAACAGGTCTTTGATGACATCATAAGTAAAGTCGAAGAGAAACCAGGTGATGTCAAATTGGCGTGCGATCGATTGATGGCCGTGGGAAAAATGCATCGCACAAAGGTAGGGAAGCCATTGTGATGACGTCATCAACTGCTTTGTTATAAAACTAACCTAAAGTTCACCTCAAAAGCGCCCATAAAACTAACGCTTTTGTGGACCTACAACTGCAATTGATTTCTGGACATTCTAAAGCATTAAATGATAATAGATTATTATTTTAGTTCGTTCCTAACAACGAAAATCAACAGCAATGAGGATTTAATACTATGGGTTTTTGAAGGAAAAAAGATTATTAACAATAAATAAGAGTCGAAAGAAAATCTTTATAGTATGAGCAAGATCAAATGTTACTTGACGCACATCATTTCGTTTATACGATCAGTTTCCATTACCTGGAATTCTGAGATAGCTCTACTAGAGCGCTTCAAGCCTTCAGGCAGTCGCTGTATATATTGTGTATTGCAAGAAGCTTTTCTCGGAAAGAGCGCTACTAATTTTCCGACCTCAGAGGGATTAGAGGTTCTTTGTTTTCTAACCTGGAGCGGAGTTGAACCAATTCTTGTGTGTGTGTGTGCGTGTGTGTGTGTATGTGTGCATGTGTGTATGTGTGATTTTTTGGCATCTCTAACCACTGCACTTCGCGTTAATTTAGATCATCTCATCGGAAATCATCGTAGCAGCAAAATTATTGGCCTTCTTTGTTAAATGAGATACTGTTCAGAGATTTGGAGGATATCTTAATTACCCAAGATGTTGTACCCCGTGCAATTCGTGAAGTATTTCAATGATTTGAATTCTATAAATATTGAATACTAACCGTTTTACGTTTCAGTAGCCATTTATTCGCTATTCATTGGTTTAAAGGCTTCTTTTCTAAGTAAAATAAATAGAATCCTTTTCTGTTTTAGGCCTCTTCAATGCAAAGCAATGCTTTCCAAAACATGGAAGAACCGTTTCTTCACATGGTCAAGGAATCCTTACAAGATCGCTTCAATGAAAAGGCCGAAGGACTTTTTCGAAAATTCTTTCAGTTTTGCCTAAAATATTTATTGGAAGGTTATAACGGCTAGAAAACATGTCCGAAGTATTGCTACTTATCGCTAGTTCCGTTTTTCTTGTTAACTAATTAGGATGGGATAGCCGACCCAGGATTAATCAAGAAGTGGGATAGCCGAATGGAACAATCATGAAAAAAATAGTCAAAAACTAGTGAGTTAGGATATGTTCGTAGTGCAAGGTCTTCTATGTAAGGGTGGAAATAAAGTCGACTGTCGGAATCTCTTTAATGAGGTCTTTTAAAACCAACGGCATACGAATGAACAATTGATGAAGTTTAAACACATATAGTCTTCAGTTTGGTAGGAGCAGAGACAGTCTCTCAGTATTTAGTAAGCTCTTGTACTAAAGAAGCATCGAGCTTCTTTACACTTCGGTGATGATCAGGTCATGTAGGTGTACTCCTTCCTGCACTTTCTAGCTTTTAAGCTTAAAGGAAGACAAAGATTTCTCTCCAGTAGACATGAAACATATTTGGGAAGTGTACTACGAATTTTGCTCGTTCCAATATTAAAGTAATATCTCATCTAACTATGATTTAACACGAGTTTTTTTGTATTCATGACTTAGCAATCTTTGTGTCCACCCAGAGGCTTACTCACTTTAGTTGGTCGTGGTTTCCTTTCTTTTCTGGATGTATTTTCAGTTCGAAAACTTTGAATTGTTCACAAACGTTTTATTGTAAGAATTTTCTTTGTTACGGATTCCTAGAAAATGTACATAAGACTCCAAATAAAGCATTTTTTTCACCTAAGGCTTCCATAGTTCTGAAAAATTTTCGTAGCCATGAAGAGAACGCGTTGAGTATGAAAAGCTTTTTTTGCAATAAATGTCATTTATTGGCAAGTCTGCTGCGAAAATCAATACGTATGCTTTCCGTTACATTTTTAATACAAGAGAAGATGATGATCAGAATTGTTTTACTGTATAGAAGTAGAATTCAGTACAACACACATAGAATGCAATTGCAAAGATGAAGAGATATTCACGAAACTTGGACCCCGGGTTAGATCGAACCACGAAACCTTTTCGGGTGGTCGAGTATTACACACTGCACTATTGAGGCCCTTGCTTTGCGTCTAATTAGGAAAATAATTGAAAAATCACAGTGGGCAAAAAATAAAGGGTTAACACACAAAGTATTTTTAGTTTTTATTTGGTTTATATGACCCAATTTATATTTAGCGAGTCTCAGCACTTCTTTTAATGAATCCATTGTATGGTGTCCATTACGCAAAAAGGTCTTTGAATCAGCATGTAGGTTCTGCTCCCTCTTTTCCTTTTTGTCTTGTTCGTGAACGCTGGTCGAGTTGACTCTTCTTGGAATCCAGGAAACCTCAACAGCCTTCCAATTTTATCGCCATACAGGAAGGTCTTTTTCGATCAGAGCAGGCGCTTCACAAGAAAGTCTGGAGTCAATATCTTTACATCAGAGGGAAGGAAGGTCTGAATGAGATGGTTCGGAGAAAAGCATTGTGTGCTTTACTGGAAACCTCTATGTGCTTCACGTTCTTTCTCTTGCTATTTATTATAAAAGGATAAAGCTTTCGGCGCCGATCAACCCCTTTAGGGATGCGCCATGCATTCGACTTCATTAAGTATCGTTGGAGGCGATTGAATGCATATCTAGTCTTTACAACGACTCGCGATGGCTTACGAAAGTATCGAGCCAATGCTGCTATTCTCCTAGACAAGTCTGCTACCAATTTTACGACCACGGAGGGATGGAAGGCTTGGTGAGCCATGAGCGCATAGATCGATTCCACGTGTATGTTGCATGGCACCTCCGACAACTGCGCCATACGCGCTCTTTATTATTACCTGTAGTCCTGTTGATCGTCGAGTAACTCAAGCGGCTCCAGTAAATCTTCCATTTTTCAATGTCGCGTGCAATAGTAGCCCAGTGGGTTCTGCTCGCTCTAGCAACTCGTCGAACATCATATCTTTCTTCTAGGCTCTTCGTGAAGAATTCTGACTATCGGGTTGGTGGTCTTTCTGCGGTGCGTTTAATATTCCGAGAAATCCAGTCACTAACGGCTCTTGTCCATCGGTTGTCATTCATACGCATTACGTGTCCTGTCCACCTTGCCTTCGACTGTTTGGAGTACAGAACGGCATCTTTGATTTTTGATCATCACGCAGGTCGGAGCTTCGGATCCCATCCCTTACTTGTGTGAAGCGGGGTACTCCTAGCATCGTCCTTTCGAGTGCGCGTTCGATAACTCTGAGTGATCTTCCATCCTGCTTACGCAGCGACCAGGTTTCTAACGCATACGTTAGGCCAGGAAGTACCGTTGAGTCGAAAAGGTGGGCACGGAGTCGGGTGTTCCTTGTTCTCCTTACTATATCCTCGGTGCTCTTGAAAGCTCTCCAAGCCGCTCGTTTCCTTCTGCTCAGCTCAAGAGCTGTCGTTCATCATATTGATTCCCTGACCTAGATAGACATACCTGGACCGTTCGGAGATATTCGTTTCTTTGAGCGTGAATGGGACATAGGATACCAATCCGTTCTTTATGAACATCGTCTTTGTAAGATTTAGTCGAAGACCAATCTTTCCACAGGCTTTATCAAAGTCGGCAAGCATAGGTTCCTCTTGGCTAATGTTTGATGTTATAAGGACGATGTCATCAGCAAAGCGAGGCTAGTGTAACTGCCGACCATCGATTTCACCCCATATTATCCCATTCCAATGTTCGCACGACGTTCTGGAGAGTGGTGGTAAATAATTTTGGCGAGATGGTATCGCCTTGCCTAACCCCCCTTTTAACGCCAATGTTAATATCGTCGTAGAATGTTAATATCTTGGCTGTAAAATTTTTGTACAGCTCACAAAGAACCTTTATCTACTGAGTAGGGACTTCCTGACTATCAAGGGTTCCAGGCTGCCTTTATCTCAATTGAGTCAAAGGCGTTTTTTCAATAGATGAAAGTGAGATAGGGCGCTCTTTTATCCTCTCGCGATTCTTCAGTGAGCCTTGTTACAGCTTGGATATGGTCCATCGTACTAAATCCTTTTCGAAACCCTCCTTGCTCACATGGCTGTCCTTCGTCTAGTGTTCTATTAATCCTGTTTAAGATGACTCGAGTGAAAAGTTTGTAGAGTACAGACAGTAAGAAGATTGGGCGATTGTTGCCGATATCGTATAGGTCACCCTTCTTTAACAATAACATGGTCTTGCTCCCTTTATTATTGGGAAAAAAACACGTACAACCTAAGTGAGTTGGAATGTTCACATCTCATCACAACAGACAGTCTTCAGCCACTATTTAATTCAGTACGGCTTGTCGTCATGGGATTAGTTTCTTTAAAGGTCCGTGCGCCATTTTTCTAGGATAAGGTTACTGTTTGCCAGACTTATATCGCTGAAAATGTTGGAAAATATTTTTAACTTATATTGTGGCATGGATTATGGTGCATTATCCTCTTCTTAATTACGCGGAAGTTTATAGTGTCCTATATAGTATCTTGATGATTACGGGTGACATCGTTGATAAAGCGTGAATAGCAACATGTTCGGTGTCGATCAAGCCCTTCGGCAATGAATCATGCACTCTACCCAATTTTTGAAATCACAGAGGTGATTGAATGGATAGTTGCTATCTACAATGACTTCAGAGTGGCTAATGATAAATCAAAGTGGTGCTTTTATCCTCACAGACAAATACAGCGGCAGCTCAGCAGCTCCAGAGAGATGGAAGGCTCAGTCTGCACAGAGCAGCATATGATCGAATCGCCGACCACACCCCCGTTGCAACATATCTGCGAGCAACGCTCTAAGAGCGTTGGGTAGATTTGATATAGGTATTATTTGCAAAACTCCGTATGGTGTGGTGGTGAGCGCGTTCGTTCCCCACCACAGACACCTGCGGTCCGGAGTTTTGTAAATATCTCAGCAATCTTGTGCTTGTAATAGTTCCCAAGATCGACTTCCTATTAACCTCGGCATTGGAATATGAATGTGTCGTTTTCTTGTTCAGCGATCGCGAGGTTTTTAAACAGCATACATTTACTTTCGTAGAAAAACACAATACAATACTTCGAGATTCGAGGAGATGGCTCACTGAAGAAGACCTGACGACTTGACACGAAGGCGAAGCTGCCACGTCGAGACGAATAACAAGCGAGGACCATCGACTCGGATCGTCGGCTCTGAGGAAGACGAAGACGTCGAAACGTTAGCCGAAAATAAACATCATTATCAACCTCGGGTAAGCTCATCAAAGAAAGAATACAATACAATACAACACTAGCTGACGTTTCGGCAGTATCGCCTTCTTCAGAGCAGTTTTTTTTCGTGGCTTCCAGTGAGGAAGTTTGGAACAGCTGATTATAGTCGCATATGGTTGA